TTTCTCACTTTTAATTAGGACTTTCTTTCTACTGTGGAAAACAAAAGATACATTGAATTTATTTATTTTTCATACATCCAATGTTGTTTTGGACCCCACTGACTTTCCTTATATGAATAAAAACAGATCAAATGCTACATGAGGTCTGAAAATGAGGACATAATTAAAATTTTTGGATGAACTATCCCTTTAAATGTCATTTCAACTACCCTACTCTACAACCATTTGTGAATAAAATCAGTCAGCTCAGTTTGCTTTTGCTTGCCTACATTTATGTCAGAACCGTGATTTCTGTCACTTTAATTTTCCTCATGAGTCCTGTTCATTAATTTATTTTGTTCATCCTGTGCTATGTGTAGCACAAAATAATTCCACCACAGAGTTTGCCAATTTTGATTCCTTTGGAAACGCCAGTGTACCGTCACATTTTGGCACATCACCCCCCTCAAAGCCTTCCCTTCAACAACCCCACACAGGTACCACACCCTGCCCCCATCGATTGTGTATTATGTTCAGTTCACGTGTATTTTTATTTCTTGTCATGGTTGTTACAGAATGTTATTGGCTTAATATCACCTCTCTTGCTGCTGGCTTACTTTAACAGTACTGTACCAATCATTTAAAGAAGACAACATTTTTTTTGTCCTATCTTTTAATTTATTTCAATTTAAAAAGAAAAGAGAAAAATATTGAAAAGAAAACCAAGGAGTTTGACAAATTTATTATTATTTACATTTAAATGTATTATTTCTTAGGGGAAAAATATTTTAAGGTCATGTGGTGCAACCAACATGCAGGGGTAAAACACAAATAATAATAATAACAGGAAACAGAATTATATCCTAGAGAGAAGCCCTACATATCTTCATGAGTAATGACTGACAAATCAAGATTAGTTAAATTGAATTGAATTAATACAATAAGTCTGAGTATAAATTTAAGCTCTACCCTTATGCGATTCAGGAGGAGGCATGTCCATTCCTCCTCTACCCAATGTGGCCCCTGCCCCGCCTCTGAGCTCTTTATCGAGAGGGGACCGTTACGCGGCCCTAGCTGAGCTTGACAGTGTCCTCAGTTCCACCGTTACCAGTGGGAGCGCACAAGGGTGAGAGATCACTGCATTACTTACCGTATATTCTCTGCACAGTCCACCTTGCTTTTAGGCTGTTCATGTACATGTTTTTGTGTGTTAATGCACTACCAAAGTGTGTATGGAGGTGTCCCAGGAGCTGCTGCACCTCCAGCTCAGCCAGGAATACCCAACATGCAACAGGGTTTTGCAGGTGGTACTTTTAAGATTGGTTTAAGTAAGTTTTAACATGCAAGTCTTTTAAACTGACTCAAGACTTTCGATCGTGCAGCCGCTCCCTCCACAAACCCATTCGTGGCTGCTGGAATGGTTCAGGAGCCCATGTCTACAAATCCATTCCAAACCAATGGGAGAGCAGCCGCCTCAGGTAAAACCTCGCTTTGGTCGAGATCAGCATGCTCGTTATGTGTGTGTGTGTCCATTCAAGGAATGAGCAGATGAAACATGCTACTCCTCCTCTGGTCTCCTTTTATTTACTTTAGCCTCATTTGGCACTGGCTCCATGAGCATGCCAGCAGGCTTTGGGAACGCAACCAGTTTCTGCCTGCCAACCAGTTTTAGTGGGACTTTCCAGCAGCAATTCCCTGGCCAAGGTCCCTTTCCCCCACCTGCAGCCTACCACCAACAGCCCAATGGTATGTGAGACTATATTCGTGTGTTTCGCCCAAACCCCCAGTGGATTATGCCTTCCTTTATGCATACTCATGAGAAAGGCTGTTTGTGTTTTGTATTAAGCATCAACTCTTTTTGCTTTTCCTGCTTTGATGTGAGTTTTGGTGTTGCATGTGTTGGAGTAGCAGGTTCATTGAGGTCAGTCTTTAATGTAACACACCAGCTCCATGGCTTTTCTTCTTTTATGGTCCTCCTCAGGGGGGTTTCCAGCTTACGGACAGGCCAAACCTATGGGCAACTATGGGCAGCAGGTCACAGGACCTGGGATCTCCAGCAACCCATTCATGGTAAGCAAACCAGTTGCTGTGAAGTAAAGGCCACGTCGACACGAAGCCGGTGCGTTCCCTATACGTTTTTTTTTTTTTTCTCATTCTAAACAAAAAATCCGTAAACACGGCGTCGTCTCAAGAAATATCTGCGTACGCCACTGAAACCGACTGAAAAAGGTGTAGTATATATGCCAGACCAGTATGGGGCGCTGTAATTCTGCCACAGAGATATACTATACACAGAGAAGAAGACTTTGGACATGCGCATAACCTTGCGCGCTGTATAAGACGAATATGGCGTGTGACGCAGCCGACACGTGATGTGATGACATCATCGTTTTACAAAATATACGGACTGGCTGTACACACGAAACCGCAAGGGTGTCGTTTTCAGATTTTATCCACTTTGGGACCCGGTTTCAAAAAATTGCGGTTTCACTCTCCCAAAACGCCGGATCCGTGTGGACAAAACGCCAGCGAAACGCGTCTTTGTGTGGACGAGCCCTAAGTATGAAGGATATTCTTTATTTATTACTTTAAAGCGGTGGTTTTCAATCTGACTTGAAGATTAAGGCATATTTAGGCATGTCACTGATCCTACACCCCCTCGGAAACAAAATAAAGTTTATTAAATTGCATATTTTGTTATAAAATTAAATGTTAGATGCTGTACTGCCATTTATTGATGTGGATCATCACGATTGTCTCTGAGTTTTATGTGACCGTCATTAGTTCCTTACATAGATGAACAAAAAAAGAAGCCAAATGGTTCTCACTGAGTTTTTAGTTGACACCATTTACATGACATTTCACAAAAATACATTTAGCACTAAACTACTGAATGCACCTTTAATGTCTTAATGGCAGTCTGGCTCTTAATGGTTTTACATCTATTGTACTTAATATTGGGCTGCATTAAACATGCTCACGTCTGTTTTCTCTTCAGGGTGGAGGCCCGGCGGGACCGTACCCGACAGGAGGTTCCTCCACAAACCCCTTCCTCTAAAGCGCTTTCCACCACATTTCAGCTGCATCATGCACACATTCCGCATCACCAATGCTCTAAAACATTGTCTTCAAGAATCTGAAAGTATTCAGGTTTTGTATTTACTGCACTGAGTCTTTGACATTTCTAGAGAAAGAGCTGTGGATACGCAGGGTATGGTCTTCCCCACCCACCGGTGTGTTCTGGAGAAAACAATCCACCTCATTTATGCCTTCAGCTCCATAAGTAATGTTTTATGCCTAGAAAGTAAGCTCCTTGTGCATATCAGCATTTGTAATCCTTTTAAAAACATGTTATTCACAAAGAGAAACTGATGGAAACAGCAGAACACAATGGTGTCTAGGGATGCTGTGATTAGCTGTACAAACAACTTCAGTTTGTCCATAGCACCTGCTCTAGCAGGAATGTTTCGTTCAGTCTAATCACCTCAAGGAGGTAAGAAAACATGGTTTGGATTAAAACCTGACACCTATTGTAAAGGCAGAGGAGCTCAGCACAAGATAAAGCAGGTGTCTACAGCACAAACGGGCCGAGTAGATGTAAGTGGTAGAGTACGCTTTTCTATGATCTGCCCTCGGGGAGCACCTTGCGAAATTTGCAGGTCTGACCTGCTGTGTTCTACGTCAATGGGTTTTTGACCACATCAAAAGTTACCATTAAAGGAATACAAGTTTATGTGTACATATATAAATATATGTATAAAATATTAAATGATTTTTAACTACTGTGTTCCATCCGCCTGTTTGTGCTTTTCTTTTTCACACAATTATTTATTGTGATCACGTATGAATAATTTGAGGAAATTAATCCATTTTTTTTTTTTTGTAGTCAAGTTTTTATCTCCCACCCTAGTACACATACTGTATCAGACACTCTATAAAATAAAGGCTATTTAGTGGCATTGATGGTTCCATAAAGAACTCAACATCCATGATGGAACCTTTCCATTTCACAAAAGGTTCTTTATAGTGGGAAAATTTTTCTCGAATTTGAATGCATTTGTTTATTGTGGTTACTTTTATTCATTTGTTCATGTTTCTTATTGTTGTAGTAAAAATGTACGCTTTAATTAATTGCTTGACTATAACTTTCACTGCATTTATCTAGTGTTTTTTCATGCACGTCATATGACAAAACAAGTTACATTTTGCTTAGTTTACTAAAATATCTAGGCTAATTTTAGTAAAAATTAAAGTATTGGTCAGCATTTATCATTATTATTTTGTATAGGTTTTGGGGTGGGCTAGCAATGCAATTCATTCTGGGGTAATCTTATTTTTTGAGGAGTGACATCGATATCTTCTCCAAAGGCGACGTGAGATCTTCGAGCAGCTGTCTCCTTTGTGCAGCCATTACATGATGTTACGAGGTGTTATATTGTGCACCTGTCGCTCATTTTATTGCAGAGCTAGTTACAAGATTAGGGAAAGATGAGATGGTTGTATCTTTAACAATTAACAATCATAATGACAGAAAACATAAATATCATGTGTTTGCATCCATCACGGGATTATAACACAGGAAAAAAATAATAATGACAAGGTCAAAAATCTTTAAATAATACATAAAAACTGATTTTTTATTTTTTTTTTATTTTTTTTTAAGTCTGAGGGATGAAACATTAAACAAGAAAAGGAGGAATACATGCTGTCGCTGGAATTTTATCGCGTCGCGTGTAGTTAGGACACGGTGTAAGGACACCCTGGGGGCCCAAAGGGATTTTTGCTTGTGGGTGAAAATTTTGAATATTAAATAAAGAAATTAACAACATATTCAAGAGATGACGATTTGAGATTGATATATATATATATATATCACTAGTAGGCTACCCTACTAGTACCTACAGAGTCTACTCTTTTTATTTAGCGCTGATATGCTTTCAACCGCTATCCAAGCGCAGCATCTGTCTGGAGATGATGACGTAGTAGACTGTGTGCTTCTGAGTCTCCGTTGTCCTGGTAACGCGTCTTCAACGAGATCTGGGAATGGCGAGCTTGCTGGGAGAAACTCTGTTTGAGCTCAGTGGACAAGGTCCTGCACCTATGAAGGACTATTTCCACTTTACAATTACACCGACTGAGGTTTGTGCGAGGTTTTTTTTTTGTTAACTCAAATGGGATTCTCTTGCGGTAACGTTAGCTTATGATCAAACGTTTGCATTTTATTTATCTCTTCTCTTAGAAGATCCTCCAAACCCAGGTGAAATGTACTTAAGTGAACATTTTTATTTTTATACAAAATACATATTTTACTAACTTAATAGGCTCCAATATTGTGTTCCATTTTTGAAGATGACATAACACAAAATTGAGAAGGTTTTAAAGTAGTTTCCATCATGATAGCTCCATGCCCAATTTAAAAACTGTTTTCCCAAGATGAATTTTGAGTTTTTAATATTTTAAATGATAGACCTATGGTGGTGATTACTAAATGATAAAAAAGCGAGCCAAGTGTCCTGCTACCTCACAGTTACCAAGCTAAACTAGCTGTAATGATCACACTGAAATGTAAAAGAAATTATAGCCTATTTAGATCAAGAAACTATTGGTATAAGATCCTACAACATATCACTTTGGAGATGATCATTAATGTAGCTCTGAAGAACTGTTTGCCTGATTAAAAGCCACTATGCTGAAAAGAAAGGCTGTTTGTCTCAGTTTTACTGTAGACAACTTATGATAATAATTATGAACATCCTTCACTACAGGTTGTTTGGAGCTGGTGGAAGATTTCTTTGAGATCAGACTGCAGGAACACACCACCAGGACAACTGAGAGAATCACATGAAGACTTCTTAGATGACAGCCGTCTGCAAAGTAAGTTATTCAGCAACTTTCTCTGTGCTTGCTCACTATTCCAGTCATACACTTTTTTTTTACATTTCAAATAAAGTGAGTCTTTTAATGTAGCCTCTTTCTCATTCAATGAACAACCTGGTCTATTTCATCCAGATCACGTTGCCATGGTATTTGGTCCTCGCATCTTGCAGTACTCCAAAAACTTATGCCAAGGCCACTATGATTACATTGTCCGTCTCCCCAATGCTTTGCTTTTCACCATCATGGCACATCTAGACCTTGAAGACATTTCAGGTCTTTCACGTACCTGCCGTAAGTTTAAAGAGGTAAGGCCTATTGAAATCCCATGGCGTTTCAAAGGGCCATAGAACCAAACCAAGTGGCTTTCATTTGAAATAAAATCGCTCAAGCACACTTTTTAAATAAAATATTTCACATAAAATGTTTGTAGAAATAATTACAAATTTTGAATTGCTGTTTGTATGTATGTTAAATGCAGTGCAGGGTAGTACCTGATTACATGTAATCTGGATTACGTAATCAGATTCCAAAAAATAAGCATTTGTACTTACCGGTAGATTATATCATGTTTTAAAATACTTGTAATCAGACTACAGTTACTTTTTTATTGATTACTTGTTATTCTAACAATGGCAGTCAAACATTCATAATTCCGAGACCCACAGCTTTCGGTCACTCGATTTACAGAAATCATTTCACTTTTAACAAGTGTTTTCCCAACATTGCAGATCTAATCAACTCTTGATTCACACCTTAATTATTATTTGAATTATCACTCAGATTCAGTGAGTTATTTAACCATGCATTAATGTCTTTGGAAGGTTTTTGTCTTTCAACAAATTCACGTTTACAGTTCATTTCATCGCATGACACACAGGCAAACAAATTAAATAATCTTTTTATCTTTTTAGTAGTGTTTTAAATGATTTAATTAGTTAATAGCTTTTCATTAAACACATGATCCCCAGCGGTTCCATCATGAACCCCAGTCTGGAAAACCCTGACATAATATAATATTTAAGGCACTTCATGTTGTTGATAACAAAGAATGGAATATATTTTCTTTTTCTTTGTATTTTAATATCAAGTTGTTCTACTCAAATGAATGTGTTAAACAAGTTAAGTCAAAAGTAATCTAAAAGTAATCCAAAAGGGTTAGGGTTACATGTAATGTAATGGATTACGTTATGTTTTTTGTCATGTAATTTGTAATGAGTAACAGATTCCAATTTGTATGTAATCTACCCAGCTCTGGTTAAATGGTTACATTGAAGTGTATGTGCTTTCTGATATTTTTTTTTCTCCCCCTTCAGCTTTGTAACTCTGAGGAGTTCTGGGAGCAGACAGTAAGGAAGCATTGTGACAGTGTGACTCCAACAGTGGAAGCTTTAGCTAAGGAGGTTGGCTGGAGGACAATTTTCTTCACTAACAAGCTGCAGCTGCAGATGCAGATTAGTCGCCGGAAGCAGAAGGAGAATCAGCCCTGTGAGGATCAAAACGAGCCAAGTTCTTCTTCTGTTCCTTTTGAGTAAATGGCTTCACACACCCTATTCAAAGTCTAATAAAGACTTTCTTTCTCAGAACAGCATTTTTCCTTGTTTTACGCGTGGAGGTTTCACTGTTGAAAATAGCTGGCATGTTAATGTTTTTGTAACATTTGCTCAAATCTAAAAAGACTAGAAGTGCAAAAGACTAGTTTTACATTTCACAACTTGTAAGACAAAATCATAATCACTTATTTTCTCAATTGGAGTTATTTTATTTGAACACATATCCAACGACATTTGAATTAGCATGTGAGTTGTCTTAACAGACATAACTGATAACTCCCAACAGTATTTTCCTGTTCAGATGCCAAGTTTTTGTGCTGAGGAGCCTAATGTTCAAATTTATGTTATTTATGTCTTGTTTTGTTCGTTAAAAATAAATATTGCATTTCTATAATAAAACATTTCTGGTATTTTTACACCCTAAATCCTCATTTATTTAGTAAAAACACTGGAATAAAAATACTATTTAGCCCAGCTTTTTAAGGAAAAAAAAAAATCCAATCCAATTATTTTACCCTTTTACCCATAACATTACAACCATGGTAATTCATTAAACCCTGCCAATAACATTGAAGAAGTGCCGAATTATCATGTCAGCCCTGGTTCATCATTTTAAATAACATTTGTTAGAGGTAATGAGGGGAGTTATTTATGAGCATGTGGTTAAAACCCACCTCTTGTATGCTCGGTAGATTACTGTTGCATGGCATTGTGTCAAACACGGGAAAAACATGCATGGGAGGGATGTTAGAAACCTGAGATGCTGTGTCTAGAACTCTAGCTGCAGGTGAAAATCACTCAAGCAATTTGTATCTGTAAAACAAGCTTGACAAAGACAAAGGCTACTGAAAAGAAAAATTGTTCATTTTTTGATTTAAACAAGTTGATTAAGCGAGGCAGGTGGTGATTCTGAGATTTACTTGGATGTGAATCTTGAACAAGCGAAAGACCAAAAATGACCAACATCAGCGATCAAACAGGTGAATGGATTTCTTGGTTTTTCATTCCGCAATATGTAGTCCAGAAATGTGTATTTGTTACAATTAAAATAAATACAACATGATCATGCTCCTCTAGACCCACCTTAGAAACCATGTTGTATTTTATCACTATAATGTTTTTTTGTTTGTTTATATATATATCTTCATATTCTCATTCTCCAGTTGACAGAGTTTTTTGTCTTTTTTTCTTTCCCCGAGGGCTCACTAGCTCCGGTCTAGCAGAAAACAATCGGCTTTTGGAGACTGTGAAAGCATCTGTCCACTTTGGAGCTTTCATTGTCACTGGTCTCTTCGCCTTCCTCATTATAGCAACGGTGCGGCACAACCAGGAGCTGCGTCAAAACCCTCGTTACGTCCTGTTGTGTCAGCACTGCATCTGTGTGTCCGGCTTCAACATCATGGGCGCAGCCGTGCACGGTCTCCGCGGACTGCGTTGGCCTATTTCCCGAATCACCTGTTGGATACTCTTCGACCTGCAGGTGCTGATGGCACGAGGTTTGATGATCACGCTCACGCTGATGTCCATCAGCACCTGTCTGTCAATTTGCATGCCACTCCGTTACCCCATTCTGGTCCAGCGCTTCCACCGCTGGGTCATGCTGGTGGCTTGCGTTCTCGCCCTGCTCAACCCCGTTGTCTTCACCGTCCTAGCTTGCGCGCAATCTTCGCGGGACCACGTACTTGGGCTGGATACTGAGTGCTCTACAGCTTTGGAAGGCACAGCTTGCATTGCCAGCGCTTTAGCGTTGCTGTTATTGCTGGCGCTGCTCATCATTGTAAGCTATGTGGCGATTTACCTGGAAGGTAGACGTGCTGGCCATTTCACGCAATCCAACAGTAAAGGTCGCCGCACCATTCTCATCCACAGCCTGCAGATAAGCCTGCATCTCCTGCCCTCCATCATCATCATCTCCCGGCATCAGGAGACGCTCCCCGTGGCGGTGGTCATTTTTGTCGTCTTCAGTTTTGCACAGTCACTGAGCCCTGTGGTGTTCGGCCTGCGCTGCAAAGAGCTTCGCGAGGAGATGCAACATTTCCTGCCTTTGTTCTGGGGAAACTGTTTTGGCTTTTGGTACAATGGCAGCATGGAAACCATCAGCACTGGGACCATGACCAGTGCAGAGACCAGAACCAGCATTGAGACTAACACTTCCACCTGCATCGCCACCATCGTCACCCCATCTGCCATTGTCACAGAATGTGAGGGTGAGAAAGAGAGGTCAGGCTTCATAGATGTAACTTTGTAAGTTAAAAACAAGTTGGACTTTGCAGTTGGAAACAAAATAAGTCATTTAGACAGTGGCACCTCTATTTTAAAACATAGAATAGGGAACTGATTTATTCAGGTGTCTTTTTTAATCCCATGACAGAGAATAAAAAAATTAAACAACATCAAAATTTTGGGGTCAGTATAAGATTCGTATCTCTTTTATTCAGCAAGGATGCGTATTCAATTGTTTAAAAGTGACAGCAAAGACTTTTACATTGTTATGAAAAATGCTATTCTTCTGAACTTTCAACTCATCAAATAACACTGAAAATCACGGTTTCCACAAAAATATGAAGAATGTTTTCAACATTGATAATGATAATAAATTATTTCTGAAGATTAATTTGACACTGAAGACAGGAGTCATTGTCATCACAGGAAATTACATTTTAAAATGTTATAATACTGTATTTCTAGGGCTGTGCAAAGATTAATTGCGATTAATCGCACCCAAAATAAAACTTTGTGTTTACATAATATATGTGTGTGCTGTGTATAATTATTTTGTATTTATAAATACACACACGTGCATGTATATATTTAAGAAAAAGTGTTATTCATGTATAAAATATTTATATTTATATATGATATAGATTAGATATTAATATATTGAATGTAAATTATACACAACACAAACACATATATTATGTAAACACAAACTTTTATTTTGGATGCAATTAATCTTTGCACAGCCCTAAAATGTGTTAACTTTAATCAAAAAACCTTCATGAAACCTTATAACTTCATAATCATGAATATGATTTTGAATGGCCAAATGTAGGTGGTTTTGTGAGAAATGTTATCTACTTTTGCTTTTTCACTGATTCATTAAGGCTATTAATAAATCTGCCAACAAACCTTTTTGGTTTGTCTTTAGGTAAGTTTGCAGTCTTGACAAGCGATGACACATCCTCAGGAGCAGAGGTGGACAAAATACACAACTTCCTTACTTGAGTGAAAGTACAGATACTACTGGTCAAATATTACTCTGTACAAGTAAAAGTTGTAAAGATCGTTGTAAAGTTGAAAGTTGTAAAGATCTTTGCTTAAGATTTTTTTACTTCAGTGACAGTAAAAGTACAGAAGTAATCGTTTTTAAAAGTGCTTAAGTATCAAAAGCTATACGCATTTTTAAACCCTAAAAAAATGGAATTTGATTTTCTGTGTCTGTGTTCAAATAATATATAATTTACATTAAAAATCTTTTAATTTTTTGAAAGAGGTTATTCTCTGTGTAATAACAGGCCACGCTGAGTTTGGATAACATTTATAAGACAATAAGTTACCATTGTAATATATAAACAGAACTGTTAATAATAAACTAATAATAATGCTGTAAAAGTAAGTTGATTAAAGCCTGGTTTTAAAGTGTTGATGCATATTTTGATTGTTTTATTTAGTGCATTCTGAAATTCACACAAATGATTTATTTAGTATAAGTGATATCATTTAATTTAATTATGTTGTAGGCTAGATATTCATGGCATGGTTACATTACAAAGATAGCCTTGTAGTGCATGTAATTGTAATTGATGCTTTTTTTGAACATATTTAGTGAGAGATGATTGTCTAATGGTGCCACTTTTATCTTGAGGAATCACTTTCTGTTTAACACGGCATGTTCAGGCTATTTACTTCCAAGGTAATATAACACAAACGTAGAAATAAAATCAAATGAAAACATGAAAAACTTGTGGAAATGCGTCATCCCATGTGAAAAGGGTCCATAAAGACCTTCAGATAAACACATTCATACCTAATAAAGCCTAAACAATTTATAATGGGCACTGAGTAACATAGTACCAACAACAACATCTAACCTCTGCATCTGCAATTCTCAGCGTGTCAGTATTGTGTATATTATCAAGTCTCTGGTCCCTTTTGCTTTGTCATTGAATGTAAACAACACAATCAGTCAATCACTGAATCCAGCCCCTGTAATGGCTGCTTTCTTAAAGTTAAAGGGATACTCCACTTTTTTGGAAATAGGCTCATTTTACAACTCCCTCAGAGTTAAAAAGTTGAGTTTTACCATTTTCAAATCCATTCAGGCGATTTTCTGGTATTTAGAAGAATATCAGTAACCAGACAGTTTCTGGTCTAATTGACTTCCATAGTAGGATAAAATATATACTATGGTAGTAGTCAATGAGACCAGAAACTATCTGGTTACTAATATTCTTCTAAATCGGCTGCATGGATTCGAAAGTGGTAAAACTCAACTGTTTAACCCTAAAATGAGCCTATTTCCAAAAAAAGTGGAGTATCCCTTTAAGACCCAAATCTTTACAGTAAAAAAATTTTTTTCAGCTTATTTGATATTGAACTTGCCCTAAAAACATTATTTAGACATGACATATTGTGTACTATTCAGTTCAGTTTAACTATTCATCTATGATCCCTATTTAATAGGATGCTACATTTTGAATGCAAGTTTACATGATTATGACGTGACTGACAACAGGTGATTTCTATGATTTGAAATTTGAAGTTATTGAAATGTTTTATCAATATTTTGTATTTTTTTATGTAATCTCTGATCTTACCTCATTTATAAAACTTTATACCCATAAAACCCTTCAACATCTGCACAATATAAATACTGATGTTTCATTACGAATAATGTCGGTAGGCCTACAGCCACAAAGCATCTATAAACAACATTTTGTAGATTTATTAATAATGTGGCCATAATAAGGCATTGTGACTTGACATAAGGCATGTGATTTGAGATAAAATTGAGTAATTTTCCAACCATTAGATTTTATAGGTGTTAATTATCATTATCAAATGCCAGTATTATTTATGTCTCAACAGCAAAACTTGGAAACGATCCGGGTGTAATCGGGAGACTTGTGTGTTTATTATTAAATTGTATAATAGCTAACTATAAAATATTTTATATAGATAAAATATAGTTAATAAGAAGAAAGTAGCCTATAAAACTTAAATTTCTTGCAAGGCGTCTTCATTTTCACAGCTTTACTGGAGTGTGGTTTCAGGTCTAAATGCTCCGAAGTGATCCATGACAATGGCTGGCTGTTGCATCTAAAGGTGATCTGACCCAGATACAAAAATAAATAAAAGCACCTGGGTTTTATTGTCACACAACACCTGTGTTTTTTTAAGTGTGTCTATTCCTCACCAAGCCTCCCTCAATATTTAACACCAGGTGCATCGCATCAGACTAACCTTTGTAGCCATCAATAGAACCACATTAGCATTTCATGCCTCAAATGCAGTCCACCGGGGAAACGTGATAGGTGATAGGAAGTCAGGGTATGAATATAATGAATTGTTTTCATATAATTAAAAATACTTTAAATCAGGGTTTTTTGCTTCATGGCGATTTCCATTAAACTTCATGCTGATTTGTACTCAGCTTTTGGCAAAATAAGCAACTACAGTGTGGTCTCCCCAGTGGACCAGTACAACAACCTTCTGGATTGAGCCGAGTAGGGGACATCTCTGGGGTCTTCAAGTGGGCACCTTCCGCAAATAACAATTGAACAAACAGACTCTTCGAGTTTTTCAAGAATTCAGGGTTATTGTATTGTAGCTTATCCTATAATTATATCGTCGTGCAACTAAAACTTTTATAGTTTTTGTCAGTGTGTAGCCTATTTAAAAACACCCAATTATGCAATGTATTGTACAATGCAAAATATGACAATATAATATAAAGCCTGTGCAAATCCATGTTTTGCAGAAAAATATCCTCATGTCAATGCTCACATCAAAAATCTTCAAATGAATTAAATTTCTGATTTTTAAACTGTCATCACTATAAAATGCTTGGTGTGTTAATGCAATGATTGTTGATCTTAGACTGTGTGTAGGCCTACCCATGAGGAAAACAGCTAATAAATCATACTAAATTAAGTTTTTTGTTTGTTTGTTTTCTCCAACACCTAACTTCACGTAACAGTTATTGTTTTCTCTCTCTCTCTCTCTCTCTCTCTCTCTGGGCAACATCAACCTTGCGTAACAAAATGTAAAAATAAAGTTTTCTGTGAGGTTGTGTTTTGCGTTATGGGGTGGTAGTACACGCAGTTTGTACAGTAGGCCTAAACAAATCATGTCTAAGTCCCTAAAACAACTCAGAAGCCTATATCCCCACAAAGATGGCAATAGGCTACCAGAAATCCTTGTCCTTGTGGGGACATTTTGTTGGTCCCAATGAGGAAAACAGATTATAAATCATTCATATAAATTGATTATAAATTTTTTTTTTTTTTTTTTGAAAATCTTAAAACACAGTTCAAGTTTTGTATGATGGTTTAGGGTTGGTATAGGGGGATAGAATAGAGTTTGTACAATATAAAAATAGCTATGTCCATGGAAAGTCCCCATGAAACATTTAAACCCATTGTGTGCGTATAGGCGTGTGTGTGTGTGTGTGTGTGTGTGTGACAACATATAAAAAAGTTAAATTAAATCACCCTAACTAACTATATCGTACATTATTCAAAACTTGTGTAATCTAGATACAAATAGTGAAGTGATTTTTTTTAATGACAAATGTATATCTGTCTGCAACGATTTTGAGACACTTGGTTTTTATGAGATCCCTTGGCTCGATTTTCTCACAAATGCAGTTGAGCAGCAGATGGACAGCAGATGGCGCTAAAATATGGAATAAATTAATTAAAAAATTCTTTAATTTAAGATCTGATATTTGTTGGTTACATGCAATTTGTAGGATGGTTTGTAGTAGCCTATTTATTTGTGAAATATTAGCTCAAATATTTGGAAAACACAATTGGTTACTCCACTGCGTTTTCACTCAAATTGACCATTTGCATATTGCATTCTGTTTGTTTGCTTTCTATGGTTAACACCATTGTATCGTTGTACTTCGCTATTCGACTACTTCTAGCCTACTATGAGATGAGCGCGTGAGATTCGATAGCTCTTATTTTCACGCATGTCTGTCACAGAATTATGTTTGTGACGTCACAATTGCTCATGCAGGACATAAGTGAAAGCAACGTCAGTGTACATGAGTTGGAAAAATAGTAGCTTTAATTCAGCGCGAGCAAAACTTAAAAATGTGGTTTCTGTCCTGAACATTTACATTTAGGCCTATGTATCTAAAATTGAGTTAACAAAATAAGATTAATTATATATTTTGTTTTTTCTGTAAA